CATCAGACTAGGCCTTCTATGTGTCTCCCCACCTCTCTTGTTAAGGTATGCGTTACAGCAGTGCAATAATGCCTGTGTGTGGTTTATATTTGTGTGCATTTGACTTCTTTTGGAAGACTCTTCCGGTCTGTTAATCTTTGTAATCTTTTTTGTTTTGTTTTTCTGGTTTTTTTTTGTTTTTTTTGTTTTGTTTTGTTTTGTTTTTTTGAGACAAGGTTTCTGTGTATAACAATCTGTCCTGGAACTTGCTCTGGAGACCTGGCTGGCCTTGAACTCACAGATCTGCCTGCTACTGCCCAGAAGTGCTGGGATTAAAAGCCTGAGCCACTACCCTACCGCATACATTTTGTAATCTTAATTAGCAGTTCCTTTCACTCCCTGGCCACAAGTCTGAAATCAGGGCTCTAGCCTATCAACTACTACACCCCTAATCCCTAAAGTTCCTTAGTGAAGGAGTAACACATTTTGAAATCACCCTCCTTCCCCAACACACACACACACACTCACACACACACTCACACACACTCACACACACTCACACTCACACACACACACTCACACTCACACACACACACTCACACTCACACACACACACTCACACTCACACACACACACTCACACTCACACACACACACTCACACTCACACACACACACTCACACTCACACACACACACTCACACTCACACACACACACACACACCTCGCTCAGGAAGTTTCAGATGATCACTTCTGTTACACATATGATTAAGCAACCATCAGTTCAAGAGAACATTAGAGCCACAAACCCCACCCCATCTCTCCCTTCCCTTTTCTCAATACCATGGTGAGAGAAGCCCGAAATTCCACTGGACTGTCAGGCAAGAGCAGGATCGCCAGTGGGAGGACAGCCTAGGCTAGGTAGTGAGACCCTACTTCAACAAACCAAAGCAAAGTAAACAAAGCAAACATGGAGGGGGGGCGGAGAGATAAAGGAGCGAGAGAGGGGGGAGGAGAGAAGAGCAATCAGAAAGTTTTTTATTTCTCCGGAGGTTTTTAGTTCCAGAAGGCAACCAATCATGCATGGCACAACGGATAATATGCTATTAAAATTTAAACCAAACTTGGGCCCTTTGCCATGTAATCAAGCCGGTGATCTTCTGGGCTCGTGGAGAGGTAGCCACCCCGAAATACTCCACCCACGGAGGCGCTAAAGCGGCAGCCTTATCGGGCCGCAGACTTTTCCTTCCCTTTTCACCTTTTCCCAGGCTGCGCGCGCTAGCAGGCAGGCAAAGTTCTGGGCCTCCGAA